CGGCGGCCGCCCGGCCCCGCCGGAGGAGGGAGGTGCCGTGGGGGGCCGGCGGCGGCGGGGTAGCGCCGTGCCCGCTCGGCGGCGGAGCCGCGGCCGCGGCGGCGCCCGTCAATTTCCAAGACTTTGGCAGGAGCCCGGGCAGGGGACGGGGGAACACGTGCTCCCGCTCCGCGCCGAGGGCAGGTAACCGCAGCCCCGCCGCGCCGCACCACCCGGGGGTCCCGGCGAGGCACTGAGGGGTGGGACGGGAAAGGCGGCAGCAAAGTTGGGCGAGCGGCAGCTGGAGCGCTCCGCGGACAGGGCCGGGTGCGGCGGGGCGAGCCGTGCCGGGGAACTTTCTGCAAAGTGGCCGGGCCGGGGTCGGCAGCGCTTCTCCCGGCGCCCGCAGCGGCACGGCCGCAGCCCCCCGGCGGGGTCGCGGTGGGCAGGGGCCGCGGCGGCCGGGAGCGCGGGTCGGGGCAGCCGGTGCCCGGCCCCCCGGGCGAAGCAGCAGGTTATTTTTACCCGGTGGTATTTGCAGAATGTGCAGCTGATTTGCCATCCGGAGCCAGGAAGTTTCCCCCTTCCGCCTCCTTCCCCTTTCCCCCTTTCTTTCCCCCGTGCGCGGCGGGGTAGTGGCGGGCGGGGGGACGAACGACCGGGGTGGCAGCGGGTGGGGGGCACGGGCCGGGACTCCCGGGGGAGCGGCTGCCCGCGCTGGCGGCTCGGGGGACGGGGAACAGGTGTCCGAGCCGTCACTCATTAGCCGGGCCGGTGGGGGGGCGCGGGGCGCGGACGGGGAAGGCGAGGAGCGGCGGCGTGCTGGGGCCCCGAGCGCCGCCGGCCGCGGAGCAGCAGTGCCGGGGAGCAGAGGAGCAGCGAGGGGCGGCCGGGGCGCAGGGCAGAGGCGGCCCGCAGCGGCGAGCGAGCTGTCAAGGGGCTCGGGCGGGCGCGGGACCGGCGCTGCCGCTCGCCGGCGGGCAACTTGTGCGGCAAACTTTGAGGGGTGGGCTGCGGCCCGAGGCCGCTCCGAATCACGGCAGGTCGGATCGATGGGCTCGAGCCCTCCTGCTCTTTGGGGTCGGAAAGGTGAAACTTGCCAGGAGCTGCACGTCCACCTTGTGTGTGCCCCCTCCTGTCCGCGCTGCACTGCACAGCGGGTCCTGGCAGCTCGCTCCCTGGAAGAGCAGTAGTAGTAGCCCCTGTCTCTCCCAAAACTTCATTGATGAATTTATTTCCTCTATTGATTTGCTGACTGTCAGGGTGGTATAATTTCTTGCGAAGGTTTCGGACTTCTCATTTCAGCAGTCCTGCCTGCTTCCCATCTACCTTTTATCTGTGTGTCGCTGCCACCTTGTTAGCTACCCTAAAGGTGGCTTGGAAGAGTTTATGGGAGAATATTGTTGAACTTCAGTAATCAAGTTTCCAGATCTTATGCCTCCTGTTTAATTTATTAGACTAGTTATTTATTCTGTTGATGATAATCTGTTGCTGGTTTCTATGGAGATGTTAAACTGATCTCTTTCAGAAATCAAACTCCATATGCACTAAAACGTTTAAAGGAGCAGCGTCCCCTTTTGTTTTCAGACTTTGTACCTTTTCAGTGCTTTTACTGGGCTCCTGTATATTTTATATATTAAAGCCTGAAGTTGAAGCTTTGAGCAAGACAGAACTTATTATGGCTAACAGAAAGTCAGGGCTTTGATCCTTTTTTTTGCATCATCATTTAAAACAGATCATTTTTCCCCCCTCATCACACAAGATAGCAGAACCCTTTCAAGATCAAAGCGTCCAGCTAAAAACTATTGTTTAAAAAAAAAAAAAAAAAAAACACCAACAGAAAAAGAGACAGTTAAATTAGGGGGATGTTTCCTTAATCTGCTTATTTTGTTCTAAAGGTTTTTTTTTTAGCTTTGTCAACACAACAACAACAGAAACTTGTGGCAACTATATTGTTATTTTTATACCTTCCAAGTCTTTTTAAAGTTAAAATAAGTTCAAAGTCAAATATCTCCAAAGATAAAGTGCTTGTTAGGGTGTTTTTATTACTTGGTTTCTAAATGTGGAAGGTCAGAATCCAGAAAGCTACTGCATTAGAGAAGGTTTTAATAGTCTTTGTCTCATCTTAATGAGAGAGCAATCTAAAAAACATTTTCCCTGCAACGTTTATAAATTATTTCAAAGAAGTCTCTCTGCATATAACTCAGTTTTCATTATTTCTTAACTTATCCATTGCATTATTACATGTGATTCAGTGTGATATCACTTTTAGAACTAAAGTAATTGAGGTGAGAAATTTTTTTTTATGCTTAAAATTTGAGAAGTCCTGGTAAGCCGGTGTGTTGCTTAGGCTGATGCACAGTATACACCAGTTGTGGGTTTTTTGCTCATCTTTTAGAGAAAAGTTCAAAGATTTGCAAAAAATATACTACCAACATAATGCATGTTTGACACAGTAAAAGAACCCCTTGTTGTACTTTCTTTTAGTGTATCTTCAAAATGTTTCCACTCCCTAAATGAGAGATGTTTTTCCTCTTGGTGTACTTGTATACAGATCCTAAAAATAATAATCCTAGAGGAAATAGGGTATGTAACTCTTATTACTCATATATAATTGTGTGTGTATATACATTTATATTTCACATATATAGATATAGATATATATATATGCATACATACACATATACGGAAAACATCAAGTGATTTATGATCTGTCCATACTAGACTTAAATATTTTTTCCTTGTAAATTGTTTCCTTTTTTTTCCTTTTTTTTTTTTTTTTCCTCTCTGTGTGTGTGTTTGTGTGTGTGATTTGATGTGCAGGAGATCATTTAAAATTTTTTGTAAGTATTCTGTTTATTTGTTTGATTTGAATTGCAAACAGAATTTACTCTGACAAGTAAAAAGAGGAGGGGGAAAAAAAGGAAACACTATGGCTTTAAACTCAGGAGTTTGCATATTCTCCTTGTATCTTTCCCCTTTGCTAATTATTGTGTTGTTTTCAGAGCAAATATGTCATATCCATGGCGACCAGGCAGGTTTATTGTCTTTCAGAAGCAATAGCTCACATAAGTAATTAATGACTTCTTTTTTTTTCCTCTGGCTTAGGTTAAACAGATCATTCAAGGAAAGTCATATCTCTCTCTCCTTCTCTCTCTTTTTTTTTTAGCCCAGTGACATAAGAACATGAGTTAGAACAAGAAAATACTTTAACCAAGAAGTCAACAGCTTATTTTTCTTCATTTCTTTTTAAAAGATCTAAGTGTCAGCTTTCCACACACATGACATTGTCAGAGCGAAGCCTTTGTACAGGGAAAAGCCACTGAAAGCTGGAGTTAAGTTGGTGTTGTACAGCTGAGCAAAGTGTCTCTGGGTGCATGTGGCGGGATGTTCTTCTTGCTTAAGGGTTTTGCTGTGTACTGGGATAAAAATGTTTCCCTCGCTTTTCCCCCCTCCCTCCAATTCTATCTGTATTAAAATCAGTGTTAAAATAAAGGTGTGTTTTCGTATCTTGCAGATTGTAATTCAAACAGTTTCCAGGAAAGAATTAGTAATTCATTTTTATATACAGCATATATACACACATGCTTGAGCTCCACCCAAAACAATCAAGCTAGCTGGAAAAAAAACCTTATTTCCTTTTTCTTTTCAAGCCCAAGCAAACTTGCACAGTAACTTTCAAAAGCTTATTAAAAATAGCCCCCCATTTTTGCAAGGAGTTTGCTGCAGGTATGAATCTTGTTCTTTTCCTTTCCAACTGTGTTTCTTCCTATTAAAGCTGAATTTGCTATCTGTCCAAGCCAGAGGCTGGTTATCCACTATGATTTACTGAGGTGATGGTTGCCCCCTCCCAACACTCCCCCCCAGCAACTTCACCCCCGTTTTGTTTTTGCTAATTTCATTTTCAGAAGGATTTATACACAGTCCAGCTATATAAATTCCTTGGGAGATAAAAGCGCCACACACTTCCATAAACAAAGGCTTTTACTCGCATCCTGTCTTCCTTTTTTTCTTAAAGTAAAAAGGAAAAAAAAACCCTAAAAACAAAACCCCAAGCCATCTGATTGAGGCAGGTATCATAAATGCATGCTGGTAATGATTCTGTATTCCACAATGCTGCTACTTTAACTTTTAAAATATGTTTCCTTTCTGGTTTGTAACATTAATCAAAGAGCCGCTTCCTTCCAAATTTCCACAGACTGGGGCTAATTAGAACCACTCGAATCACATTTTGTAAATTCCATGTGGATGTTACTTTAGGTTTCAAGATTGCTTCAGGTTTAGTCTGGCTAGGCACTCTTAAGGTTGGTTATTTTTATTAATGTTTCTGTCTCCCAAACCAATTCAGGGTTTCTGTCCATTTATCCCAAATAGATTTGTGGGTTCACACACGGCGGTATGTCGGAAATAGACGTTACAAGTAGGAAAAAGAAAAGCCGAGAAGGAAGGAGATTTTGCATTGTAGTTCCAAAGAGCAGCAGAGAACCTCCTAAGTAACGTGAAGCTGAGGATTCAACAGACTTGATAATTGAGCCCTTAACCTTCTGATGTCTGTATCAGAAAAACAGAGTCTAGAAGAGGGAGACAAAGAATAAAAGCAAGTACTGGATAGGAGGAAGCTGAGGAGATGACTGAAATACTGAGGTATAGTTCGGGATATGTACAGATCAGTATTATGATGTTTCCTTGGGCTCAGTTTTTCACTCTGGTGAAACGTAGCTGGTTTAAAGGTGGCTTCGGGAGAACCTGATGTTTCCAGTGCAGCCGAGAGGCTGGCGTTTCTGTGGTGTGTGCAGATGTAACTTGGAGAGACTTCTCTTGGAATTTGTGTTTATGTTTCCCTCTTTCCTTTTGTTTTTGAAGGACTCACTAGTGATTTTTTAAAAAATCTTTATGGAAAGTTAAATAGCTAGAAGTTGGAAGTTTTCAGGTTGTGATTATCAGGCTGTGCTAAAGGGATTTGAATCTAACCACTTTGAACATCCGACAGGGTGACTGTTTCCATGCTCTGGTGTAGCGTTTCTCTCCCGTACATTTGTTGTACCTAAATAGGGTATCTAAGAAATAGGGGGCAGTTGGCTTGCACAGATATCTCAAAGTTAACTTGCTTTTGGTATATAACACCGCAGCTTCAAAGAAAAGCAAGGGTGCATCATAAATTTTGCTAAAATTAATCAACCGTTTAAGAGCTCCACATTAACGAGGTTTTCCAGGCAAGCAGCTTTCTTTTCTTCTTCTTCTTTTTCATTCAAAGTCTGAGAGGTTTGAGGTAGAGGAGGGGGGAACATGAGTAAGAAGAGGAAAGGAATGGAATTTGAGGAGAAAAAATTAAAACCAAAAAGGCTGGATTTGTAGAATATAAATCCTCATGTGTCCTTGATCCATATTGTCAGGGTTTTTTTTGGTGGGTTTTTTTTTTTTTTTTTGGTCGGATTTGTCCTGTGTGCCTTTGACGGAAAAGGCACGTAGAGAGAGAGAGAGAGAGAGCGCGACAGAGGGGGAGAGAGAGACGTGTCACTGCTTTGGAGCTCATTATCATTCTTAATAAGTCTTAAGGAATAAAGAGGAGCATTGAGTGTAAATGCTGGGTAATCCTAACACTCCTCAAGGTGAGAGGAGTCTCGAGGACACAGAGAAAGAGAGTGAGGAGGAGGGGGCTACTGTGGGAGCAGGAGAGGAGCTGTGGATGGAAGTGGTTTTCAGGGGAGGGGGCCCAGCTGAGCAGGGCTCTGCCTCTGGGACGCTCTGGGCTCGTTCCACAGGCCTGTGCTGGGGCAAGTTGTCTCCAAGTTTGCGTCCCAGAGATCTCGCAGGTTTGCACACGAGCAACCCAGCTGGACCTTGAGCTGAAATGCTGGCCTGTAGTGATGCCGTTCTCTGGCGGAGATGAGCTCGAGAGGAGCCGGCGGCCAGGCTGTCAGCCCCGGCCGAGCAGGGGGGCCGCGGCCCAGGCGGGTGCTGCCTTTGCCGGGCCCCGCTTTGCCGGGCCCCGCTTTGCCGGGCCCCGCTTTGCCGCCTGCTTCCTCGGCTCGGGGTCGCTTGTCAGTCCGTGCACCCTGTCCTTTGCTGCTTTCCGCGTCGGTCAGGTTGGATGTCTCAACTCCCGTTCGCCTGTTTCCTGAAGCGGCTCCCTGCGCGGCTCGGACACTAGGTGGCTTAAAGCACAGGCTCGGCTCCGCTCTGCTGGCAGCTGCCAGCGTTCATTCACTCTTTCTGGTGGGCTCCCTTATTCAAACTTCAGGCTGACAGCAAAACATGGAGATGTCTTTGAATGTGGATTCAGATATCGCACGACCTCCTCGGCAGTGTGTTTGCAGTCGCGTTCGGGGATATGAGCCCTTGGAGAAGGAAGAAAGAGGACATTGATGAAATTAATTCAGAGGCTGAGCTTCTTGCTTTGATGATAAGGAGTCAGGAACCTGCTGGTGTTGCTGAGTCCTTCTCTCTTCAGGCATATTTCACCATACCCATTCTAAAGGGTGTGTGTGTTCCTTTTGGAAAAAAACATTTCAGGGTTGGCATCGCCCTTTTTACCATGCTGATGTGTAATGGAAGATGCTGAGCTTTCAGTGATGCCCACTGTCCCTTCTTTCTGGTCTCTTATCTCAACTCCAGTTGCAGGCAGAAGGGATTGCTGTAACTGGGAATTTGCCTAATGCATCCAAAGCCTAAAGAAGGGGAGTGGAATAGCACTTGAATATTTTTTATCCCTCCTGCAGTCTGTGTTGTCTCTCTGGTTCAGCCCTTAGCTTCTGGCTGAAGTAGGAGCTTTACCTTTTAAAAAAATTATTCCAGATACCTTGGAGCAGGTGGGAAGGAGGTGTGGATGCTGAGTTTTGATCAGTTGGCAGAAGCCAAATGCAGTGAGGTGGAAGTCTTGCTAAGTGCTGATTTTTCTGGGTCCAGGTGCTTGGCATCAAGTTAAAGAATTACATTGGTAATATTATTAGGTATTCAGTTATTGTAATATTATTAGGTATTAAGTTATTAGTAATGGAGCTCTGGAGCTTGCCTGTACTTGACAGAGAACTGCTAAGGAACTGTATTAGGCCTGAATTTTTCCTGGTTTCTCCAGTTGTGTCCTTCCAGCATGCCTAAGCCCTGATCTGGAGGGAGCAGGAGGAAACTTGAATGCCGTTTTTGTGCATCATCTGTCTTTTGAACTCTTTCCTGAGACAGCTAATGAATTGTAGCAAGGAGCTCCATTTCTTGTACAGAGGGATCTGCCTGCACCCCCTCTAACTCCCTCTGTGGATGAGGTGTCAGCTAATACCTTTCACGCGTGATTGAGCTGGTCTAGAACAGGGCCCGGAGACAGAGGAGTCTGTGCTCACAGGGTTAGCTCCAGAGCCACACAGTGCCCAGGCCTCGTGCGTAATAACTGCTGCAGGAAAAGGCACAGCAGAACTGTCAGTTCTTGGGGGCCTTTGGGGGCCTTTGGCTCCTTGCCTGCCATGGCATTTTGGGGCAGTTTTCTCTCCAGAAGGTATCCTATTTTTGTTCTGCCACCAGTGATGCTGTTTTGAAACAACATTGGAAACAGCTCCCAGATTCTAAGCCATAGGGCTTGTCATTTCAATGACAATTCAACAAGTCACCTCAGAGTTGGTCTCTGAGGCTGCTCCTGATCCTTTTGTGTGTGAAGTCAGCTGGCAAGGTTGGTCTCAGTGCTGGGAGGGCAGCACAGTGTCACACATACCATCATCCATCAGACTTGGGAAGGAACAAGGCAGATGAACTCTACAGGTTTTTCAGGGAGTTTTTTGTTTTGGATGCTGTCCTTTGAAAGAAGAGTGGGAACTGGAAAACTTAAGAGAGAGAGAGTCCCTTGATGGTCTGTTGCTAAGAGTGTGACCCAAGCATGCGTTTGACTGCTGGACTTGGAGAATAGTCGACTGGAAAATGCGTCCCAAAAGTACAAGATAGCCTGGTTCTGACCCCTGCTTGTATTTGAAGGTGGGGGTGGCAGTTGACTTCCACTTATGAGCCAGTTCATTTCTTTCCTGGTTTTGCTTCTGCTTCCAATAGCAAAGGTACTGGGACATTTTATTCCTAAGCAGTATGAACTGCCAGCCCTACACCTTTCCCAGTGTGGACAGGCAAAGCTTTCTAAATAAGAATACGTGAATGTACCTGGCATAAATGCAAACTGAGCGATGTGATCACAGCCTGTGGCCTCGAGGTATCTCCCTGCTGCCCCACTCAGCCCATCCCCATGCCAGGAAGAGTGAGGGCTGCACAGAACCACACTTGCCTGTGTGGAGCATGATGAGGCTGGCAGAGCAGTTGGGAGGCTGGCAAGCAGCTCCCAGCCTGGCTGCCTCCCCATGGGAGCTGTGTCTGCAGAACATCCTCTCCAGAGGGCTGCTGGTGAGGTGTCCCTCCCTCCGCCAATGCCTCAGGCTGGTCCGACTTTACAGAGGGGAGCAGTGTCCTTTCACACTAGTGAGCCAGCAGAATCTCTCCCAGGGGTTATTGTAACCTC